GCCCCCCCCCCCCCCCCCCCCCCCTTGCTACAGCCTGCCCTGAGGGAGTGGTAGAGAGTGATAAGGTCCTTGCTGAGCCTGCTTTTCTCCAGGCTGAACAGCCCCAGCCCCCTTGTGCTCCAGAGCCTTCCCCTTTCTGTGGCCGTGCCTCAGCCCCTCGCTGTCTTGAGTGCGAGGCCCAGGGCTGGACACAGCACTCGAGGGGTGGCCTCACCAGGGCCAAGCACACGGGATGAGCACAGGGAGCCCTTCCCTGGTCCTGCTGGCCATGCTATTCCTGTTATAAGGCCGGAAGCTATTGGCCTCCTCGGCCACTTTGCCACAGGCTAGCTCACGGTGAGCTGGCTGCTAATCAGCAGCTTCAGGTCCTTTTCCAATGAGCAACCTCACAACTGCTCTTCTCCAAGCCTGTAGCACTGCATGAGGTTGTTGTGACCAAAGTGCAGGACAAGGCATTTGGCCTTGTTGAACCTCATACAATTGGCCTCAGCCCATGGATCCCACCTGTTCAGATCCCTCTGCAGAGCCTTCCTACCCTCTTGCAGGTCAACACTCCTGCTCAACTTGGTGTCATCTGTGAGCTTACTGAGGACTCACTCAATTCTTGATTTTGATTAACTTGACCAGATAGATACAAGATCAACATATTTGCTACTCTCCTTGGGCTCAGCCATCCAGCTTGTCTTTTACCCATCTAGTCCAAGCTATGAGCAGCCAGTTTCTCCAGCAGAGAAACTGTGGGATGCTGTGGGAAATGGTGTAAAAAGCTTGACTAAAGTCTGGGTAGTCTCCACAGCCTTTTCCTCATCCACCAAGCAAGTCACCTTGTCATAAAAGGAGATGAGATTGGTCAAGCAGCACTGCCTTTCATAAAGGCAAACATGCTGGACCTGATCCTGTGGTGTCCTACATGTGCTCTGTGCTGGCTCAAGATGTTGTACCCCGTGACCTTTCCCAGCACCAAGGTCAGGCTGACAGGCTTGTAGTTGCATAAATCCTCTTTCTGACTCTTCTTTTAAATGGGTGTCATATTTCCTAACTTCCTGTGAGGTGAGACCACTCCAGTTAACCAGATCTGCTGATAAATGATGGAAAGTAGCTTGGTGAGCACTTCTGCCACTTCCTTCAGTATCTTTGGGTGGATTCCATGCAGCCCTCTTTATTTGTGTCTAAATGGTGTCGTATTTTACTGACCATTGCCCCTTGGATTATGGGGGCTTCATTCTGCTCCCTATCTGTCTTCCAGCTCAGGGCACTGGGTACCCAGAGAACAACTGCTCTTACTATTAAAGACTGCAAAGCCAGGTATTAAGTACCCCAGACTTCTCATTCTTTGTCATTGTGTTCCCTCCCATCCAATAAAATATAGAGATTCCACTTAGCTGTCCTTCTGTTGCTAATACATTTCTAGAAACGTTTTTTATTGTCTTTTATGCCAGTAACCAGATTTGGTTCTAGTTGGGCTTTGGCCCTTCTAGTTTTCTCCCTGCATAACCTCACAACATTCTTGAAGTCCTCCTGAATTGCCTGGCCCTTCTTCCAAAGATGATGCACATTTATTCCTGAATTCCAGCCAAAGTTCTCTATTCAGCCAGGCTGATGGTCTTCCCTGCCAGCTCATCTTTTGACACATAGGGATGGTCTGCTTCAGTGCGCTTATAATTTCCATCTTGAATCATGTCCAGCCTTCCTGGACTCCTTTGCCCTTCAGGAATGCATCCCAAGGGTCCTTCTCAACCAGCATCATAAACAGGCCAAAGCCTGCCCTCTGGGAGTCCTGCCCTCTGGCGCCCCTCATTATTTCTTCAGAATTCAAAATCTGTTATTTTGTGATTGCTGTGCCCAAGACAGCCTCCTTTTGTCACATCAGTCACCAGTCCTTCTCTGTTCAGAAAAACATCTCTAATGGGGTTCCTTCCCTAGCTGACTCATTTACCAGATGTGCATATCAGTTGTTGGAGTATTGATCCTGCCATTTTTTTAGGGGGAGGTACCCATTGCATATAGAGTTCCATCATTACTGTAATTTTTATCTAGCTATATGAAATCTTTCCTCTCATTGCTAGTATTCTATTTCATTGATTTTATCATAGTTTCTCCTGTCTTTTTGTGGTATAAATGTATGAAACCATGCTTACATGGAAAGGGAATAAAAACATTTCTAATAGTCTGTCATCTTTTTCAGAAGCGAAACCTTTGCTGCCCTTATGGGGTGAAATCCCATAGGATATGCCATGTAATTTTAATATAAACCAGGGAGTTTCATTAGTATTATTACTGGTCCTGGAGATCTTAGTGCACTACTAAGAAATACTTACAGCACTTCTGGTTTTGGGATACTTGGTGTAAAGTTGAGTTTCAAATTGGCTTTCTTTCTGCAGCAGGCTGAATTGTGTAATGATTAATATTGGTGGCCATATTTTTCTGCCAGCTCAGATGTCAGCTACTGGTGAGAAGAAAAATAAAAAATCCAGACTGAAAGTTTAATTTAGAACGTTTAAAATCTTTTATTATCCATCTGTGAAAAAATTAATAGTTTCTTCAGTGTCATGCCCTTCTGACAAAATCATCATTTGAAATAAAAAAAAGGATGCTGTGTTTGTCTTTGAAATGGACAACTTAAACATTGAAAGAGAGGGATGCTTTCTGAAATGAAGGAAGTTTAAAGGATATGACTAGCAGAAACAGCAGTTTTGGTATTAGGTGAACAAAAGTCACAAATCAGAATTGTCATCCATTTTGCTAAGTGTTTTGCAAAAAAAATGAAGATGTATTATGCATTAGGTAATTTGTCAGATTTTGTAGGTTTTTGTGAAGGACAGTGACACAAAAGTAGAGCTATTAGCTGCAACCTTAGCTGACCTTAACTAAAAATTGCTCTCCATCCTGGTTATAAACCTCTGCAATTCCATTAGCTTCAGTGAATTTCTCCAGCTTTTGCAACCTAACCAGGAGTTAAGGGTTGGTGCAGGGCTGTTGATTCTGTTCCTCTGTACTTCCTGTTGGTAGGGTGCACTGTGACTCAGTGTGTGGCCTTCCTTATTTTGAAAAATCGTTTGTTCTCATTAGTGCCATACAGAAAATTATCCAGTTGGGTTCTCAAATTACATCCACTGTTTTTGTAGCTAAAACTGTGTTTGTAAATATGAGGTATTGTCTGCTCTCCTCTATGTTAACATTTGGCTTCTCTTCCCTTCTGCCTGCTCTTGTAAATCAATTTTATTTGAACTTCAACAGAAGTGTCTCATAACTTCAATGCCTTTTCAAATAGCCTTTGAAAAACAATTTTAATAAGATTTCCTATAGCACTGAAGCTTCTTAAAATATGAAGCAATTGTACATCAAGGAGAATTTTGCTGTATACATTCATGCATCTAGAGACAGGAGAGAGCATGCTGTAATTAACTTGTTTGACCTGAAATGTATACAAGGAATGGAAAATTTGGCTGCATGTATAATGACCTGGTAGTCCAGGTAATTTCCTTTATGCCTTAAGTTAGGTACCTGACATTCATAACGCATAGAATCTTGCTTGTTGAGCAGTCTAGCATTATATTTGCAGAACTACTGCTATACTAACTGGTATTACATTCATGTTCAGTGATTTATTTGATCTAGAAAGCCAACAAATTTCTGCTTTTCTAAAAGGATGTTTTCTAGGGCTCCAAATGTTCAAATGATCTACGTTCTAGTTTCTCTCTATTACAGTTGTGATGAACACATGATCATTTGCAATATATGTGTGTATATATATGTATATATGGTGGGACATTATGTATATATAGTATATACATCAACATATATTGGAACATGACTTTCACTTTGGTCAATGACTGCAATATTGGACTGTGGCTTCAACAACCTGTTTTAGAAACCTCACAAATAAATCACTGATGATACCTACGGAAGTTACCACCTTCTTTAGATAAAAGTATATTTATAAGGTACCAGTTTGTATAGAGTAAGCTTTGGTTCTGTCCCACTGTCAAATAGAGCATAAAATAAGAAGCTAAAATTTGCAATGGCTGCCTGATACACACAAGGGTATTTTAATTAACCTGCATGCAGAAATTAACCCTTAGAGTACTGCTTCAAATTCTTCAATTTATTTTATTTAATTTTACCAGTGGGCTATGCTGCATTTCTACTCAGTTCATAGTACCGTACATAAAGTACATTAAATGGCCATAAAAAAAAATATGTGAGAAAAAGAAAAAAAAATCCAATCAACTTTTTATAAACAAGGGATTCTACAAGACTAAGTACTCCAGGTTGCTAATGGGTAATGTATTCCTGAGCAACTATTTTTTGTTAAAGGTTTTATGAATTAAAAGCATGTAATGTTTCACTGTACCTGTGTACTTGTTAAGTATCTTCCTAAAGTATCATAGATGTGTCTCCTTTAGAAAGAAGTCAGTTCTTTAAGGGTTAATGTGGGGTTAAGCAATCCTGAGGTATTCTCCTGCTTGTCCTCTCCTAAAGGTATCTGCATGTTAATTCTCAAATATTACCTGAACAGGTGAATATAAATACTGTATGAATGACTAACTGAATGAATGAATTAATTCCTTTGAAATGCTTGCTTGTATCTTCTAATCGACTGGAAAACAGAAACATGATTTCTGGATCGAGGTCTTTAATAAAATGCGTACAATTCTCAGCAGAGTAGAAACTCACATACTGACAGTTTATTCTGATTTCTTTGTCTTTCAAATAGCCCAATAGAATCCTGCCAGAATTTCTACAAAGATTTCACATTACAGATCGACATGGCTTTCAATGTGTTCTTCCTACTCTACTTCGGCTTGCGTGTAAGTAGTGTGTCTTTGGTAGCAAGAGGCAGGGAGGGAAGGCAGCTGCTGTATATGGTGATTATTTGAAATAGAGATTGTATTTTCTTTGAAAGAAGGACAATTAATATCTTCTTTCATGCAAAAAATATGAGCATTGTTTTGAAATATGTAAGTCAAAATTTTAAGACTTAGATAGAACTGCTCTGTTAAATAACTTCATGGTACACTCTTTTTTTTCCCTTTTATTGGTATATTTACATTTAATGTTTAAATAAAGCAAATGTTTTCATTACTTTTTAATTATTAATAAAATGTGAATGGTATTTTCATCTTATTTAAGCACATAGGCAAGTTCTAACTACAATGCCCTTGGCATCTAAGCTTGCCAGTTTCCCTGGGCTGGTTTAGTATTCAGGAGAGAGAAATGACCACATCTGTGGTTCCATGCCTGAAGTGCTGCTGCAGTCCCAAACTATGCCTTGTAGGAGTCACCCTGCTGATCTCCTTGGGTCATGTAATGATGGGACTCTGTAAACCAGTCTATATTGAGAAATTTGTGAACAGCAAATGCATGATAAGACTACTACCAGCATATCTGGTGTGCTGGAACAAAGGTGATGTACTTCAAAATACTTTATAATTGCCTACACTTTTCTAATATTACTGATACATTTCAATAAATGTGGAAAAAGTATTTTTAGCACAGCTATTACAATGTACATGATCTATCTCTTTAGTTAGACCTTTCATTTTAATCTCAGTGTTATTATCAAGAATTCACAATACAGACTTCTTTCCAGTGAGACATGTTTTTTCTGGACTCACCTAAAACATCATAACTTTTGAGTTTAATATTTTAGAACAGATACCTGCAATCAGCATGAGAATAATCTGATTCTTTCGTCTCTTCGTCTCTTTTTTTTTTTTTTTTTTTTTTTTCTTTTCTTTCCAGTTTATAGCAGCCAATGACAAGCTATGGTTTTGGCTAGAAGTTAACTCAGTGGTAGATTTCTTCACGGTCCCTCCAGTGTTTGTGTCAGTATATTTAAACAGAAGTTGGCTTGGTAAGTACAATAGTTTTACCTTTAAAATGCTTGTTATAAAATTATTTTGACTTTGCACATTTCGGTGGAGAATTTCTTCATCTTATGTCATTGTGTAAACAGAAAAATGTTACCAAAATTGTTTTCGAAGTGAATTTCAAGCAGAAAGGTGGATTTTGTCAGAAAAAGCACTTACTGTATCTGTTTTGTTTTCAACTCATTAGTATAGTCTCCTATGCTAAGTGGTGGAGAACTCCATTTTGGAAGTACTGTGTAACAGCCTGCCTTTATCAAACTATGAATTTGATTTGTCTCACTTTTTAACCTGAACAGAAGATCTAAATCATTCATTCACTGAACTGCATTGCCATGGATCATTGTCAACAATGAAATCAATATATTCTCATTGCATTTTTTAAGCCGGTGTGGCTAAATTTTTGAATCCACTGAAGTGACTGATTCGGAAGACACATTTAGACACTTAATATTTTTGTTGGACTGCTAGGAATGCATTAGAAAAGGTATATGCCACATGTAAAAGGGAATGCAAATGAAATGGAGAGGACACTCAATTAAAAAACATCCATAATGTGCCAGATGGAGTTTCTTGTACAAGAAAACATGTTATATGCTCTTTCATAGGAAAAAATGAATGTCAAATGTTGTGATTTTTTTTTTTTTATTATTATTCAGAGAAAACATTCTAAAGATGGCATACTTTGTGACTGGCATGTCTGTAGACAACATATGAAACCTCAGTTTGGCAATTCATTCCTCCAGAAATACAGGCACTCATTTTCCCTGAAAAGTGGAGAATAGTTATCGTAAATGTTTCATATGGAAAATAAAATAAACCAGAGGGTCTTTAATAGTCTTTTAACATTTTCATCTTAATATATAAGTGCAAAGATACAAAAACTATTGATTTTTTTTTTTTTATGGACAGTGATTGGTAAATTTATAACCACAGTAAAGGTCATATCAGTGGCTCTTAGTATGCCAGGGAAGAAAGCAGTAAAACAGCCAGAAAAGATCACTATACATCCTCCTGTGATTACTCTCTTTATCACATATCGCTTCTGTCGTATATGGAAAATTAAGTAAGGCTTTTTGAAAGAAAAAGTGTCATACAGTTCCACATTATGTTAGGAAATAAAATTTAAAAAGAAGGTATGTAAGTAAAAAACATACTTATCCTTGAAAGAAAATTGCCAATTTCAGTAGTTACAACTTAATCTCAGATTCCGTGCATTTTGTGAATTAAAGGGATGGATTTGCACTCCTGTATGGGATGTATCAGAGTTTCCCAAAAACTTTGAGATTGAAATCCTTGGAGACGGAGGCTATCTGAGAGAATAAATAGAATCACAGAATCCATTGAAAAGGAATATGAAATGAGAAAGACCACAAACTGTGGGAAATGAGGCAGAGATAATTATTTGGGATGAATACCCTTCGTGAAAGTGACTGCGTAATTGACTGACTCATGGTGACACAGCAATCCAGCTAACAGTACTGACAGGGATAATGAGAGCGTTTGCACATTTAGCAGTGTCTGCTGCATAGATTTCATAAGTTTTATGTCAGTTTTCAGGAAGAGTTAAGCACTCAGGTTTGAAAGGATTCCCATATCTCCTAATTAGACCAACATCACTTTACCTGGATTTCTTGTTTATAACCTCACTTTGCCTGTTTCCTCATGGAATCCTCCTGAGATATTTATCACCTGTTGAGGCAAAAAAAGTTACTTAAATGTAGTGTTTTTTGATGTAGTCATCTTAGGAGTAACATATTTACAATGTTTTTGCTTTGCACCTGCTTCCAAAGGGGTTCTCATTTTAGATAAATCATCCTTAGTGAAATAATTCACTAATTCAAAAATGTGAATTGTTTGGATTCCTAACATAGCTTTAATTTAGACCAGCAAGGTATTTTAAGAAGCTATGATGAAAGAATTTTAAATTAAATATATTGAAGTGTATTAATGAAGCCTGTGTATTCCTTTTTACACCTTTGAAAGGGATGGCCAAGTTTACTGCCTGTGGAGCTCAAATACTTTGATCATACATGTAGGTAATACAGTGGTAGGACTGAGTGTGTGAGTAGTGGGGAGGAGAGTGTTTTTAGACCATATTATTTAGTTTCAGGTTAGATGCCTACTTTGCTGTTTTCTTTTGTATAAATATTGTAATTGACAGAGATATCCTTCTGCTGAGGGGGATTCAGGACATTTAAGTTGTGGGTTTTGCACAAGCTGTCCCCGTGTAGGATTAGCAGGGAGTTTTGCCTTTCAGTGAGGCAAGTAAATAGAGAGGGCTTAAGATTAGGCAATGTGGAAATCATTCAACATTGGCACATTTTAAGAATTTCTTGATGATTTAGCAGGTTTCCTTTGTGTGCTTTAGATTTCAAGATCATTTAGGAGCGAAATAAATGCACCATCTGGAATGTATTGTGCATCAGGGTCTTTGCAGTTTATTTCATTATCGATTCTCGTCAGTCAGCTGTAATGAGTTCATTGAAGTAGTTGGCAGAATCAAAGTTCCCAGTGTGGTTCTCTGAATGCCCAATTCTACAAGAGCTGTCCTTGTTTAGCTAACGGGCTAGTATCAGTATAGACCCACAGTATGAGCAGTATTTTAAAGAAACCAAACTATCCTAAATAAATAATAAACTTTGCCTTTGGAGCAGTAAGTGCTTACAGGAAGATGTGAAGCATAGCAGAGGACGTGCTCTTGATGTATCATCTGTTCATGTATGGTAGTGGAGAGCCAGTGGATTTTTTCTGTTCTTATGCTAGCTCAGAAATGCTGTCATTCACCTATTATGTAGCTCTTAGTATGTGAAGCCTTCTCCTTTCCCTGATACTCTTTCGTATTCAGCTGTTCTTTACTTACATTTTTGCATCTTGAAATGTTGTATATTAATTAAATTTTCAATCAGAATTCTTAAAGTATATTTCAAATCTAGTCTTCTACCTAGATTCCAGTTTGCAGACAGCATTTGGTATTGAAAGATCAGATTATACTTTTTCAAAAGGTTTCTAGGAATGTCATTATGATCAATGTCTAAAGTAAAGCTGAAGGCAAAACAGCACTTCAAACCTGCAAAATCCCAGATTTTTAGATTTGGTAAATCCTTCAGGAAGGGTTTCTGTGGTATCATTTTTGCATGCACAGGACAGCATAAGAAAAGGAAGCACATGAAAAGAATGCATTTGGCATATGGACAGAGCTACATATTATTGAAAAATTGGGGGAAAAAAAATCATAATTTGAGTATCCTAGCTAAGTTTCTGATTCAGAACTTTTTTCCTTTGGATAGCTTGCAGTCTGAAAAATTGGAGAGTTCTACAAGAAAGAAATTTTTAATGAATCTTATAATTCAGTGATGTACAGCGCTTTATCATGCTATATAAAAATGTCTTATGTTCTGACTTGAAAACTGTACAGATATGAACATCAGTGTGTTTTGGATGCTCATTTTCATCTAGATCCCCATTTTTCCAACACTGTTTTGCAAGCAGTAGCATTTGTGTAGATACTTGTTCATAAGCTACAGCTGTGCTTTATCAAATCATATGTATTGCTTGCACAACTCTATACAAGAAACAGAGTGGAGAGAATCTTCCCAAGGAAAGAATGATTTACAGGTGATTTTGACAGTGAATTTCAACCAAATTATTTCAGTGCATTGCTGAGTTTTGCTGAGTTTTTGTATTTTGTTTGTAGTCTAAGTGAAGGTAGGCTAACAGGGTTGTTGGACAGAAAAGAATTTGCAATGGGAGAAATAATGGTATGGTAATTCTTTTCAGCGTTTTTTGTGGGTGGAATATCTTCCAGTTTTATTTAGTAAAGACTCAGCAACACTTTACACACTTAAAACCATTATTCTATCTTCTGTGATAGCAAAGCCAATTCAAATAACTGAAATGCCTTTAATCATGTACTTGTATGCTTATGAAAAAAGAAATATTGATTTAATGATCTGACTGTATTGAGCTAAATTGCCTTGACAGGATTGTATTGTTAGAGGGGGATTTAACATAAGAAATATGATCTTGGCTTCACATTTTCAAGAATATGTGAATGAGGAACAATCAGCCTTAGATTGTGATATTAATACAAAGTTGTAATACAACATAATATATGAATTTGATAGTGTCTTATTATTGAATCACAGAAATTAAAGATTAAAAAGGTCTTTTAAACAATCTTACTTCCTTTTTCTGACCATATGTTTCATCTATTCTACTGTACAGAACATCAAGTGATAGAAACTGTGTGATTCCTATAAATTATATTATCAGGAAGATTTTTTCTTCATCCTTGTTCCCTGACATGCCTTTTAGTCTAAGTTGCTGCTAATGCTGTACTTTTCTTTCAGAAAATAATTTGATATATATAGTGGGGTAAACAAGAGCGACAACAGATGCAAATACAGACACATGCAAAGTGTAGAAAACAAATCTCTTAAGGTGGTGATAAGCACAGTTTGGGAAGGGGATCCTTTTTTCCAGTGTTTGCTCAGATCCTGTACAAGTCCTGTTCCAGACATGTCAAATAATTTTGGATGAGACTTGTAGTTTCAGTATCAATGCCTGGTCAGAGAAGATTATTTCCAGCAATTCTGGTGGAAATTCAGCTTTTTTGTTGAATCACAGAATGAAATTATTTTAGAGATAGGTGATTTTGGAGAAAAATCAGATGTGTATTATTAAGGTAGTTAAGGTGATGGTGTGGAGCCTTCTGCCCATCCAGCAAGTGTTCTTCAAGATGAAGCTTTAGTTAAAAATCTGTGCATGAAAACAACATTTGTTTTAATGCCCTGTAGACTTGACATAATCTCTACAGAACAGCTCAGCCTGAAAGCGTATTTGAATCTGTAGAACACTGTGTTCCTTTTGGAAAACTTAGATGGTTTAATGGAATTTAGTTACACTGACAAAAAGTCCTCTGATAACTTGGTTATAGGGATACCACTTTGGCTTTGCATTAATTTACTGGATTTTGGTGCATCCT